GGTGAGGGGGACTGAGAAAAACTGGGAGGGATTGGGAACACCAGGGCGGACAGTGGGGAAGGACTGGAATGCACTGTGAGGTAACTGGGATGTACTGGGAGGGAAGTGGGGATGGTGGGGCCACACCAGAGGAGAGTGGGATCAACTGGGGATGGCTAGAAGAGACTGGGGGGGATTACTGGGACAGACTGGGGATACTGAGCAGGCACACTGGAGGGAACTGGGGGAGACTGGAAGGGTCTGGGGGGAAACTGGAGCATACTGGGAGGTATAAGGGACACTGGGGGGTGCAGTGACAGGGAGTGGGATCAACTTGAGAAAACTGGGAAGACCCAGGGCTGGGACTGAACTGGGCGGGACTGGGAGGCACTGGGGCCACACCCACCTGGAAGTATCGCCCTTGGTGGAAGCAGCCGCAGTTCCCCGGGGGGACGCAGCGGGCGCCGTCGAAAAGGAGCCCCTCAGAGCACTGACAGCCCTCGAAGCACCGCCCGCTGCAGGGAGGCGGAGCCGACACACCTGCGCAGGTGCGGTCACAGGTGCGGGCACAGAGCTGGTACTGGGAGCGGGGAGGGCACGGCAGGGCTGGGGGCGAGACAGAGGGGTCACCGAGGGGCACCTGGGGCCAAAGGGCTCAATGGGGGTCATATTCCCAACCCCAAAAATTCCTGCTATCCCAGATCCCTGACCCCCAAATCCCCAACCTCCAAAATTCCCATGCCCCAAAATTCCTGCCCCCCCAAAATTCCCACCCCCAAAATTCCCGACCCCCAAAATCCTAACGCCAAAATTCCCGATCCCTAAACTCCTGCTATCGCAAAAATCCCCAGCCCCGAATACACAACTGCAAAATTCCTGCTATTCCCCCCCCAAAAATTCCCAACCCTCAAAACTCCCAACCCCAAAACTCCCAACCCCAAAATTCCCACCCCGTCCTCCTCCCCACCCCCCCAAATTCCCTAAATCCCCGTGTACTCACGACATCCCGTCTCCTCGCGCCACTCTCGGAGTTCCCCCCCCGCCGCTTGACACGCGGCCGCGTATCCCTGGAATGCGGGGCAGGGATCGCCCCCCCCGTCCCCCCCCGCGCACACCTGGAGCTCGCACGTGTCCAGGTGCGCCCGGGGGGGGCACAGCGCTGTGACACCCCCCGAAGGGCCCCGCGGGGTCCGCCAGCACCGCGCAGCGCCCCGGGGGGCACGGGAGGGTCCCCGCAGGGTCCGCATGTGTGCAGTCCGGGGGGGGCGTCCCCAAAATTTTGGGGTCCCCGCAGAGCCCGCGCGGGGGTTGTTGCGCGGGAGGCAGCGTCAGCACCGCGTAGGAATCGCCGTCGTACAGGATTTTGGGCCCCCCCCGCACGTGGAGCAGCCGGTGGGACCCCACCTGGGTGACCCCCAGGGAGCCCCCCCCTAGCCACAGGGGGAGCACGTGGCGCTCGCCGTCCACCTGCGGGGGGGGGGGGGGAATAAAGGGGGGGTTGGAGCCTTAAAGGGGGGGAACTCCCCAAAAATAGAGTTTGCAGCCCCACAACCAGGGTTTGTACCCCCAAAAAACAGGGTTTATGACCGCAAAAATAGGGTTTATAACCCTAAAAATAGGGTTTACACCCCCAAAACAGGGTTTGTATCCCCCCAAACAGGGTTTATACCCTCCAAAAATAGGGTTTATACCCCAAAATATAGTGTTTGTACCCCAAACCCCATGGTTTAAAATGCCAAAGAATACAGTTTATACCCCAAAACCCAGGGTTCATACACCAAAAAACAGGGTTTATAATCCCAAAGAAATACGATTTGTACCTCAAAACCAGGGTTTATAACCGCAAAAATAGGGGTTTCATCCCAAAACCAGGGTTCGTACCCCTACCAAAAAGGGTTTATACCCCAAGGTAGGGTTTGCATCCCCCTCAAACAGGGTTTGCACGCCAAAAAAGAACAGGGTTTATACATTAAAAAAAAAAAAAAAAAGGTTTGAACCCCAAACCAGGGCTTGCATCCCAAAGTCAGAGGTTTTACCCCAAACCAGCCCTTTCCCTGCTGCTGGGCCCACCAAACCCCCATTTACATCCTCTTTTTCCCCCAAAAACTGGTGTTCTCAATCCAAAACCAGGGTTTTTGCCCCCAAACCAGGACTTGCACCCCCAACCCCAGGGTTTGCGCCCCCAACCCAAGGCTCTCTTCCCCAACCCAAGGTTTTCCATCCCAAACCGGGACTTGCCCCCCAAACCCAGGTTTCCCCGCCCCGCACTCACCGTGACCTCCCAGCGCTGTCCCCTGTCCATGGCCACCGTCATCCCCTGCGCCGTCACCGTCACCCTCCTCACCTCCCCCTCGTGCTGCTCCAGGGCCACCTTGAGGGGCTGCGGCCCCTCCTCGGGGTCCCCCGCGTCCATCTCCAGCAGCGGGAGGGTGCAGGACCCCTTGAAGCCCCCCAGTTGCCCCCCGAAGGTGCTGTAGATGCCTCTCCCCAGGAGCTGGCACTGCCCGCAGGTGCTGCGGGGGTGGCACCCCAGGACCCCGTCTCGCACCCCGCACTCCTGGCCCGGGGGGCACCCCGGGGTGGACTCACACTCCACGTGCCCGCCCCTGGAGCACACGCAGCGCTGGGTGCAGGACGGGGAGGGGTAGAACTGCGCCCCCCGGGGGTAATAACGACCCTCCAGAGTGCAGCCGCACTGGGATAGCGGGACACAGGAATCCCCGCTTCGGAAATAACCGGGATCGCAGAAACAGCCCTCGGAGCACGGGGAGGACTCGGGGCAGGACGGCGGGCCGGACTCGTCCTGGCAAGTCGGGGGGCAGGGGGGGCCACACAGCTCGTAGTGCTCGTTCGGGGGGGCACACAGGGCCTGCGGGGAGGGGAGAGGGGTGAGGAGCACAAACACATATGGACAGGCAAAAAAAAACCCCGAACCCCCATGGACACCCCAGAAAATTCCCTGCAAACCTTCAAATCCTTATGGACACCTCAAAACCCTCACGGACACCCAAAAAAACCCAAACCCCCACGGACACCCCAAAACCCTCATAGACTCCCCAAACCCCTATGGACACCGCAAAAAAATTCTACAAACCCCCCAAGCCCTCATAGACACCCAAAAAATCCCGTGAGAACCACAAAACTCCCATGGACACCCAAAAAACCCACAAACCTCCATGGACACACCCCCACACCTCCCCCTGCAAACCCTCATGAACACCCAAAAAACAATCTGCAAACTCCCAGGGATGCCCCAAACCCCCATGGACACCCCAAAACCCTCATGGTCACCCCAAAACTCTCATGGACACCCAAAAAAACCCCTGCAACCCCCCAAAACTCCATGGAGACCCAAAAATTTCCTTGCAATCCCCCAAAGCTCTATGGAGACCCCAAAACCCTCATGGACACCCAAGTCTCCCTGAGCAGACCCCCAAATCCTACGTGTGAACCCCAAACCCCCCATGTACACCCTGAAACTCCCTTGCCTGAACTCCACAACCTCCCATGCAAACCTCAAACCCCCTTGTGCAGATCCAAGACCTCCCCTGGACACCCCAAAATTCCCCAGGGAGACCCCAAAACCCCTCGTGGACACCCAAAAACTCCCCATTTACACCCCAAAACCACTGTGGACACTCCAAAACCCTCATGGACAACCCAACCCCTCTCCATGGACACCATAAATCTCCCCATGCAGACCCCAAACCCCCCCAACCAAACCTCAAACCCCCTAGAGCAGATTCAAAACCTCCCATGGACAACCCAAGACTCTCCATGTAGACCCCAAAAGCCCCATGGACACACCAAAACCCTCCCATGCAGCTCACAAAAACCCCACGGACACCCCAAAACCCCCATGCAGACACAGAATTCCCATTCACACCCCAAAACCCCATGGACAACCCAAAACTTGCCATTCACACTCCAAAACCCCCTCCATTCACACCCCGAAAATCCCCATTCACACCCCAAAACCACTGTGGACACCCTGAAACCCTCATGGACAACCCAAAACTCCCCATGCAGACTCTAAACCCCCATGGGCACCGAAAAAAACCCATTCACACCCCAAAACCCCTGTGGAAACCCCAAAACCCTTTTGGACACCCCAAAAGCCCCATGCAGACCCCATAATTGTCATGGACAATCCAAAACTCTCCTGCAGACCCCAAAACCTCCATGGACACCTCGAAACCCCCTTTGGACACCCCAAGCCCCCATGAACACCCCAAATCCCTCTGTAGCCTCAGCGCCCCGTACTGCAGAATGCGTGTGTGCGCCAGGGCCCCACGGCCACGCCGCGACTCTGGCACGCGCTGACGTAGGCGCCCACGGCCTGGCACACGGCGTCGTGGTGGCCATCGAAGAGACACGTGTCAAACAGACAGTCCTCCAGGAATGGGGCGGGGTCAATGACCTCGTGGCACGTGGCCAAGGGCCCCCGTTTCTTCACCAGGACCCCACAGTGCTTGTCCCCGCGGTAGGTGCGGCGTTGGGTGTTGCTGCACCCCTGGCAGCCCTCGGTGCACCCTGGGGAGCACCCAGGGACCTCGGAGACCTTCCAGCTGTCCCCAAAGTGGGTGTCATTGTGGGCGGGGTTGCCCTGGCGGGTGACGAAGTCATCGTGGGGGTCTCCGTTGGCGTTGCCGCAGAGGCCACAGACGGCACCTGCGAAAGTGCTGGGCAGGATCACGCGGGCGTAGCTGTGCCAGTCAAAGGTGACAGTGACGCCAAAGGCCGTGGTGATGAAGCCGTGGACACCCCGCAGGGACACCCGGAGCTCGTGGTGGGGGTGAGAGAAGGGCAGGTCCAGCAGGATGCCATCGACCTGTGGGTGGGAGGTCAAAGGATAGACTTGGAGACCACCCAGAGGGTATGGGATGGGCTTGAAGGGAACATGGATGGCCTTAAAAGCCACCTGAAGACCATACAGTGGCCTTGAAACCCAACATAACACCATACAATGACCTTGAAACCCACCTAAACACCTTAAAAAGACCTTGGACCCCCACCCAGGTGTCATGTGATGACCTTGAAACCAACCTGAAGACCATGCAAAGACCTTGAACCTCCCCCAAATGCCACACAATGACCTCAACCCCTCCCAAAACCCACGGAATGACTGAATCCCCCTCTCATCCCCTGTCTCTCCCCTACCTTGACCTTCTTGGGGTGCTCCTGGCTGAGGCTGAGGCTCACGTTGAACACCTCCAAGGTGACCACCTTGGTGAAGGACACCCGGTTGTCCCCACGGTGGTTGTTCTCCACGGTGACATTGAAGGGCACGAGGGTGGGGTCAGGGGAGCACAGCCCGGCCAGCAGGTACACACAGGTGCCCATGAAGTCGTAGCGGTGCCCGTCGAAGGTGGTGTAGTGGGGGTCCCCCGTGGCCACGCAGATGGAGCGGTTGGTGGCCACGCACCTCCTGACGCCCTCCACCACGGCACACACCTCACCTGACTTACACCTGGCCTCCTCACACACAACCATGCCCAGCTCCGGGTCACAGCGGCACCAGGAGCGGCATAAGTGGTCCCCCCAGAACTCCTCACCGGGGCGGTGGTAGCGCCCAGCACGGGTGCAGCCGCAGCGGGACACAGGCACACAGTGCCCCGCGCTCAGCACATGGCCGCGGTCACACGCACAGGACTCCACGCACGGCAGGGCACACGAGGAGGGAGCATCCAGGTCGGAGCAGGTGGCTGGGCAGGCGGTGCCACACGGCTCATAGTGGCTGTTCTCGGGGCAAGGAAGGGCTGGGGAGGGAGAGAACTGGGATGAGGGATGGAGAGAGTGGAGAGCATCTGATGGGAGGGGTGGTAAAAGGTCTGGGAAACCAGGAGAAGGGTATGGAGCATGAGGAGGAAAGTCTAGGAAGTGTGGAAGTGTGGGATGGGGGCTGGGATATGTGGGAAGGGGTCCGGGATACAAGGGATGGGGGCTGGGAACAGGCAGGACAGGATCTGGAACATGTAGGTAGGGTCTGGGCCATGCAGGATGGGGGCTGGGACATGCAAAGAGGTCTGGGAAACAGGGAATGGGGTCTTGGACAAGTGAGATGGGGTCTGGGACATGTGCGAAGGGTGTGGGAACAGGCAGGACAGCATCTGGGACACGTGGGAAGGGGTCTGGGACACACAGGATGGGGTCTGGGACACAAGGATAAGGGTGTGGGACATATGAGGATTTGGGAATTGCGGGATGGGGTCTGGGACATAAGAAGCAGAGTCTGGAGCACCAGGAGAAGGTTCTGGAGAACTTCCAGAAGAGGGATTTGAGGGCTTCACACTGGGATGGATCTCACTGCTCCAGAAGTGCCCCAAAAATGCCTCCCAGGACCCTGAAGTGCCCGTCAAGTGGCCCCTCAGACCCTCAAGGCCTGGGAGGATAGACCCCATGGAAAGGGGGGGCTCTGGGGGGCCTGGGGCCTCTGGGGGTCTAGAGGGGGTCAGGGAGGGTCTTAGAGGGGTCTTTAGAAATTTTAGGTAGAATTCAGGGAATTTTGTGTGAACTCCGGGGGATTTTGGTGAGATTGGAGGCAGGGTTAGGAGGAATTAAGGGATTTGGGGGTTGAATTAAGGGATTTTTGGTGATATTTGGGGGATTTGGGGTGGAATTAAGTAGTTTTGGGGCAAAACCAGGGATCTGGGGAGAAACCAAGGGGATTTTAGCTTGGATGAAGGGAATTGGGGATGGAATTGGGGAACTCAGGGGATTTGGAATGAAACCAGATAGGTTTTAGGAGATGGACCACAAAGCACCCCCATCCCTTACAGCATCCTGCTGGTGTCCTCCAGTCGCCCACGGTCGCCCCGCTCCTCCGGCACGTGGCTGCGTAAGTCTCCAGCACCCGGCACAGGACCTGCCTCGCACCGTGGCTCCGGCACAGCTCAGCCAGGCAGCTGCCAAAGAACTCCTGGGGCTTCACCACAGCATGACACGCCCGGAAGGGCCCCTGGAAGGACTTCTTGATGATCCCACAGTAGCTGTTCCCACCCCAAAGCTCCTTCTCCTCGCACACCGGACACTCCCCATCACAGTGATCCCAACAAAGGGGATCCTGGGCGTCAGGGTCAGAGCTTCTCCAGCCCCTGGCCCAGGCCACCAGGGCAGGGATGTCATCGCCGGCCTCGGGGATGTCGTCCAGGGGCTGCAGGTTGAAGTTCCCACAGAGGCCACGGACATGGCTGAAGAAGCTGCTGGGGAGGTCAATGAAGAGATGCCAGTTCCAGTCGTAGGAGACACGGAGCCCGAAATCCGTGTCCAGGGTGACGCGGAGCCCGCTGGGATGGATACGGAGCCTCCCATCCACCAGGAACACTGGGAGAAGGGCCAGCTCCCCGTTCACCTGCCAGCATTCCCAGGTATCCCAGGGTTGGATTCAACACACACACCAGCATTTCATTCCCAATATTCTATTTCCCACATATCCCAATTCTTTTTCACAGCATGTTCCCAACATTAAATCCCATCATACCCCAATGTTTTACACGTCACATATCCCAATATTTTATTCCTGCTATATTTTATCCCAACATTCTATTCCTATCATGTTCAAATATTTTATTCCCAAAATATCCTAACACCCCCCAGTATTTTATTCCTGGTGCATCCCAACATCTTATTCCTGAAATATCCTACTATTTTATTCCCTAGATACACCAACATTTTATTCCCAATTTATCCCAACATCTTATTCCCAACGCAGCCCAACATTTTATTCCCAGCTCATCCCAACATCTCATTCCTGGCATATCCTAATGTTTTATTCTAGACATATCCCAGCATTGTATTCCGGGCATATCCCAACATTTTATTACCAATAAATCCCAAAATCTTATTCCCAGCCTATCCCAACATTCTGTTCCTGACATATCCAAATATTCTATTCCCAACATTTTATTCCCACTGTATCCTGACATTTTATTCCTGACACATCCCAATATTTTCTTCCCAACATACCCAAACACCGTATTCCCAACTTATCCCAACATCTTATTCCTGGCACATACCAATATTCTGTTCCTGACATATCCAAGTACTCTATTCCCAACATTTTATCCCCAAAACATCCCAAAATTTCAACAATCCACCTCCCAGTCTGACTGATTTATCCCAAAACAACGCTGGTGCTGACAGAACCATTGGCCAGATGAAGGAGGATGTTGGGAAGTGCTGGATAAAGCAAAAAGTTGGGAAAAATCCCAGATTTCTCCCCTTTCCCCCCAGCTCACCCGGACTTTCCCGTCCTCATTGTGGTGGAAGGACACGCGTTGTCCATAGACGTCAATGTTGACGACGGAGACATAGGACACGGATCTGATCCCGCCCCGGATGTCATTCCTGGCCTCCACCCTAAAGGGCTCCAGCCTGGGGTCATTCCCATGGGATTCAGCCATGGTGTAGGTGCAGGTTCCTTGGAAGTCGAATTCTAGCCCATCGAAGGTACGGAAGTGGGGATCCCCCCATGCCCAGCAGGTGGCCACCAACGCTGGGACACAGCGGGATTCGGAGCCACGGGGCCGGCACCGCTCCTTGGGGCGGCACCTCAGGGACTTGCAGGGGTCTGGGAAGGGAGGGAGAGAGGGGGGAATGTGGGATGAGCGTTGGGAGAAGCCATGGTTTGGGGGAAATGATGGGAAAATACTTGGGGGAAGTCATGGAAGGAACTATGGGATGGGAAAAACAATGGGATGGGAAAAATCATGGGAGAAATTATGGAAGGAACCATGGGATGGGAAAGACCTGGGAAAAAAACATAGGAAGAAGAATGAGAAAAAACGTGGGATGGGAAAAAACATGGGAAAGACCATGGAAGGCACCACAGGATGGGAAAACCATTGGAAAGATCATGGGGAAAACACATGGGAAGAAAAATGAGAAAAACCATGGGATGGGAAAAAACATGGAAAAGACGATGGGAAAAACCATGGGATGAGAGAAACCAGGGGAGGAACAATGGGATGGGAAAAGTCATGGGATGGGAGAAGCCATGGAAAGAACCTCCCCATCCCTGACCCTCAGTGCCAGGGGTGGGATCTGTTCCCTCTGCCTCCCCTTCCGGCAGGATTTTCCCCACTAAATCAAAATCCCCCTTTCCCCCATTTTCCCTCACTTTTGTTGATGCATCCCAAGACCCCCTCCCGAATTTCACAGGATTCATCCTCAGTGCAGGAGTGGTCGTGGCAGGTGAGGCCCTGGCCTGGGATACAGGAGCACCGGCGCCGGCAGCGATCCTGGAAAACCACCTCATGGGGCTGTGGGGAGAGAGGAAGGAAGAAAGGGAAATCCATGAAAATAGGGGATAAAAAGGAAAAACGCAGGAAAGAAGGACATAAAGGCAGAAAAATCGGGAATAAAATGATTGAAAAGCAGGGCAGAAAAGGGAAAAGTGGGGGGGAAATACTGGGAAAATAGACAGAAAAATAAGGGAAAAGGGGAAAATGCAGGGAAAGACAAATGCATAAAAATATCGAAAAATGCAGAGAAAATGCATGAAAAGAGATGCCAATGCATAAAATAGGGAAAAATATAGGGGAAAAAATTTCTTAAAAATAGAGAAAAAAAGGAATTAAATGCAGGGGGAAAAAAAAGACAAAAATGGGGGGGGAATGCTGGGAAACAGACAGGAGAATAGGGAAAAGGGAAAATGCGGGGAATAAAGATGTAAATGCATAAAAATAGGGAAAAAAGGGAGGAAGTAATACAAACTGTAAATCCATAAAACTAGGGGACTAAAGGGAAATGCCATGGAAAGAGAGGTAAATGCAGAAAGATATGAACAAAAGGAAAAAAATGGAGGAAAAATAGAGGTGAAACAGAAAAATAGGGAAAAGAAGGAAAAAAGTGCAGGGAAAAGGACGTGAATGTATAGAAATAGGAAAAAATGCAGGGAGAAAGGATGTAAATGCCTAAGAATAGGGAGGGAGAAAAGGGAAAATACCCTGGAAAAACTACCTTGTAGTATCGCCCATCCTCAAAGCACCCACACTGCTCCTCGGGAATGCAGCCCTGCCCGTCTGACACGGAGCCCTGGTGGCACTGGCAGCCCTCAGCACAGGTCTGGGGACACATGGTGGCCCTCCCGGCACAGGTTTTGGCACAGGTGTTGGTGCACAGGGAGTAGGTGCTGTTGGACGGGCAGGGGAGGGCTGGAATTTTCATGGAATCATGGATTGAGTTGGGTTGGAAGGGACCCTAAAGCTCAGCCCCTCACCATCATCCCACATCCTGAGTGTCACCGCTGTCACCCAACCCCAAAGAAGAGACATCCCCCCCAACTCCCAGCGCTCCAAGTGGGATCTCACCAGGGAATCTCCCCAACCCCAAACCAGGGACATTTCCCCCCAAACTCACGGCAGAAGAACGGCGTCCTCCAATCCCCCACAGTGACTCCAGCATCCTGGCACATGCTGACGTAGCTCTGGATGCTCTGGCACAGGGCACCCGTATCCCCTCCAGTCACACAGAGGTTATGGACACAGGATTGGGAATATGGGGTGGGGTCAACGACGCTGTGGCAGGAGCCAAAGGGCCCCTCAGGGGCTGTGAGGAGGCCGCAGTAGTTGGGTTTTTGGAGGACCAGCACCTTCTCCTTGGAGCAGGTGGAACACTCCTCGTCAGGACAGGTGTCTTCACAAGGCCTATCCTTGGTTTTCCATGCGGATCCAAAGGCTGTTGCATCCGGAGCCAGTTGGCCATTGGAGAGGTGGAAATCATCGTCACGTTGCCTGTTGTAGTTGCCACAGAGGCCACACAGGTGGCCCAGGTAGGTCTGGGGGACCGTGAGTGTCACGTGCTGGGCGAGGTTATAGCGGACGACGAGGCCAAAGTCAGTGCGGAGCAGGACCCCTGTCCCATGGGGATACACCTGGATTTGCCCCTCGCCCAGGATGGCTGGGAGGTGGTGAGAGATTGAATTCACCTGGGAAAGGGAAGGAAGAGTCCTCCAGTGAGGAGGTGGGACCAGAAATGTGGGGAAAACACCTTCCAACCAATGTTTTGATGCATTTATGGGTCTTGCTTGAAAAGTTGGGATGAATATGGATTGGGCTTGGAGACAGGGTGAGGTGTCCCCTCCATCAATGAAACACAATTTTGGGGGGAACCCATGAGATCTGGCCCATGAAGTGCCACCTTACCATGACATCTCCCCCTTTTCCTTGGGTTAAGGTCAAATTGACCCCATAGACTTCCACGGACAACGCTTGGATCCCGGAAACCTTTCCCTTCCTACGGGCCTCCTTCTGGATTGTGACCACAAACGATGTCACGTCACCCGTGCAGGTCTGGCTGAGGATGTAGGAGCAGGTCCCGGTGACATTGAAGGCCACCCCGTCGAAGGTGATATAGGCACTGTCTCCCGTGGCCACGCAGGTGCCGGATGCTGGCGGGGGACACTGGAAGATGCCATCAACGACCTTCCCAGGGCTGCCATCAGGACAGGAAATATTTTGGCATTCCACAGCACTGCTGGAGAGGCACCGGCACTCCTCGTGCTCTGTGGGGTAGAAGGTCTCATCCTCTTTGTAGTACATGCCGTGGTGGGTGCAGCCGCAGTGAGCTGTGGGCACACACTCATCCCCGCTGAGCATGAAGCCATCGTGGCATGCGCAGCCCTCGCGGCACCGCCCTGGGCACCCGGCGGAGCCGGCACCGCAGCTGTGCTGGCAGGTGTTAGCGCAGAGCTTGTAGGAGCTGTTAGGAGGGCAGGGAATATCTGCCGGGAGATAACAGGATCCATGAACAACCAGGAAATTCCCAAGCCAAACCCTGGAGGTTTCCCAGAGTTCAAATATGTCCAGCGATGAACATCACCAAACACAGAGTTTTTTAGCCCAGTCTTTGTTTTCGTCCTTGTGGACATGATGAGGGACATCATCCAATGATAACCCAGTGCCTACCCAGTGATGATTCAATGATCATCCATAAGGAACATCCCAATGCACTTAAATAGGAATTTTTGCCCCTAAATCACATAATTTTCTCCATTTTCATGGAGAAAACTGGGACATTCCCTCAAGGAATGGGATCACTCCATACTGGATCCTCACATGACCTCCAGGCTGGATCCCTTTGCCCCAGTTCCGCTATTTTTGGTGCATTATTGGTGGTTTTCCCTCTAAATCATCCAATTTTTATCCAATACCAAGAAATTGGAACTCTGGGGGGAAAATGATCCCAGATAAAACAACTTCTTCCTTGCAAAGGGTTTACTTTGGGTGGAATAGGGGATTATGGGACCAACTGAGACTTTGCTGAGATTCCTACTGGTTTCCCACCTCTGGGTTGTTCCTACATGGATTTGGAGTGGAATTGAGGATCCTGCTGAAGGAAAACCCCTCCAATCATCCCAACTTACAGCAGAAATTATCCATCCTCCACCTCCCAACGGACACACCGGCAGCCTGGCATGCACTGGCGTAGCTGGCAATGATCGGACACATCCCATCTTCCTGCTCCGGGAAGAGGCAGGAGTCCCGGACGCAGCTCTGGAAATACTGCTGGGCGTCCACGTGGTCATGACATGCTCCAAAGGGTCCATCCTTTTCCAACAAAATCTCACACTCCATCCCGGACACCTCCTGTTGCAGCCGTGGCACTGTGGCAGCACTGGAACATTCCGCCATCGAGCTCTCAGTGCATCCCAGGATATCAGCAACCTTCCAGCTGCTTCCGAAGGCAGCCGGGTCTGAGGTCATGTTGCTGTTGCTCATCCTCATGTCGTCGCTGGCAGCGCCGTTGAAGTTCCCACAGAGCCCGCACAGGGCATTGGCAAAGCCGCTGGGCACTGTCGCGGTGACATGGCCATGCCAGTCATAGGTAACAACAAGGCCAAAGTTGGTCTCTACCACTGCGTCCCGCCCGTGGCGATAGACAACAATCTGCTTGTCACCTTGGAGATATGGGAGGTTGACCAACCGCTCATCGATCTGGGGGAAAAACCATAAAAATGGACCAAATTTGGGGTTTGATGGGGAAATCCCAACTTATTTTCAACAGCCACAGCCCCCAAATGGCATTGGTTTAATTAAATATTAGATGGAATTAAGTTCTGGATTTAAGAGGATGAGGCGGTTCAAGTCCCAGTGGGAGGTTGACCAACCTCCATTAATCTGGGGGGAAAACCATAAAAAAGGAGCAAATCTGGGGTCTCACAGCAAATTCCAACTGTGTTTTCAACAGCTGGAGCACCCAAATGACATTTATTTAATTCTATTTCAGATTTAATCATTAATTAATGGGATGAGGAGGTTTGGTGGAAGGATAAAGGACTATATCCTGAGCTCACCATGATTTTCCCAGGCTGTTCCCTGCTGATGACAATGGTTTTGTTGTAGACTTTGACTGTCACCACGGCAATGGCAAACAGGCGCCCATCGCCCTGGCGGCCGTTCTGCACCAACACCTGGAACCCCACCAAATTTGGGTTGTCTTCACATAACCCAACGAACTGGTAGACACACGTCCCCTGGAAGATGAACCTCCTGCTGTCAAAGGTTTCATAGTGGGTGGCTCCAAAGGCGCTGCAGACCCCAAAAACTTTGGGATAGCAATCCTGGATTCCCTCCTGCACTCGACACTCCTCCTCTGCACCACAGCTGAAATTCCGGCACACTGCCTGCCGCTGCTCCGCATCGCACACGCAGCGCTGTGTGCAGGTGGGATCACCCCAGAACTCCTCTCCTAGGCCATGGAAGAGACCCCCGAAGATGCAACCACAGTCGGAGGGGGGAATACAGGTGTTGGCATCCAGGACAAGGCCTTCGTGGCACACACAGGAGTCCACGCAGGTGGTGCTGGTGGCACAGCTGGACGGCACAGCTGGGATGTTGCAAGTGGGGGGGCAGGCGGGGCCACAGGTGCTGTAGGTGCTGTTGGGAGGGCAGGTGAAAGCTGGAAAGAGAGGGAGACCATGGTCAGGGTGAGGTGAGACGTGGTGGGATGGACTTCCTGGACTATCTACACAGACTTCCTGGAGTTTCCATGGATTTTCTGAAGTCTCCATAGGCTTTCTTGATCTTCTACCTGGACTTTCTGAGTCTCCACAGACTTCCTGGAACCTTCCACCTGGACTTTCTGAAGTCTCCATGGACTTCCTGGACTTCCTGCTTGGACTTTCTAGAGACTCCATGGACTTTCTACATGGACTTCCTGGAGTCTCCCTGGACTTTTACAGACTTCCTGCTTGGACCTGCTGCCATAACCTTTCCCAGCACACCATTCCACAGATCTTGGGACCCACTTGAATTAAGCTCCGCCCACCCCAGGGAGTATTTCCACCCAACCATTCCCTCTACTTACGACATCCCATCCTCATTCTCCAACCAGAAACGTCGATCCCATTCTCTTGGCAGTCATCGGCGTAGGCCTGGAGGGCGTGGCACAGCACAGCGCGATGGCCGCCATGGGCGCACAGGTCATGGATACAGTTCTTCACGTAGATGTTGGGATTGATGGTGCCATGACAGCGCCGGAATGGCCCGGCATGCCAGGACAACACCCCACACCACCGCTCTGCCTTGTATATCACCTCCTCATCCCACCCACATCGCCCACAGTCCCCCTCGCAGGTGTCCTGGCAGTGACTGCTCCCATTGGTCACCTTCCAGCTCTGCCCCAGCTCCACGATATCCCACACCTGGCTCCCATCGGGAGCCAGTGCATCATCCCGGGGGTTCCCGTTGCTGTTCCCGCACAACCCACAGACTTTCCCGGAAAAAGCAGCTGGAATTTTGACCACCACATGATCGTCCCAGTCGTAGAGGACCTTCAGCATGAAATCTGATTGGATCAACACGGATTTGCCCTTCTGGTGAACCCGGAGCTTCCCGCAGGAGAGGGAGATGGGCAGGCGAGAGCTGTGGTTGTTCACCTGAGGGAGGTAACAACCAGCAAAACAACCAAAAAACCATCAAAATCGGACAAAATGTGGAGTTTTTGAAGATTTGTTTTTTTTCATGCAAGGCCTGTCTGCACACTAGCAAATCCCAGAATTATTTAGGAAAAGACCCTCAAGATCACCACTAAATGTGTAATTTTGGTGAAACTCCATAAAATCGCTTGGAATTTGGGAATTATGCTGATTTTTTCTTACCCTCACCATCCCGTTTTCTGCCCGGACCACGGTGACAGTGATGTTGTTGATGTGGACATTGATGGAGCCAATGGAGGAGACTTTGGAGTTCTCCTTTTTCTCCTTTTGGACCTCCACAGAGAAGGCAGGAAAGGTGGGATCAGAACTGCAGAGGGTGGTCAAGGTGTAGGTGCATGTTCCCATGAAATCGAAGGTCTTCCCATCAAAACTCCGGTAGTGTGAACCACTGGTGAGCCAGCAGGTGGAGAAGGTCTCCTGGACGCACTTTGGTTGTCCATCCACCACCTCACACCTCTCCTCGCACATCAAATCCTCGCAGGAGACCGGCTCTGGAGCTGCAAAAAACAGGGAAATCCATGGATGGCCAACCGGACAATGCCCAACCACTGGGCTGACTCAACAATGGGCTCACTGTACTCACCGGCGATGCAGAGCCCAGCAAAGCCATACCCGGTGTGGCTCTCGAACCCAAACACCAGAAGCCCCATGGGCGCCTGTGGGTTCTCGGCGCTCCGTGTCTGGGGACTCACTGGGATGCCGGCCCAGGAGAACTCCGTGCCGGGAATGCCGTGCCACTTCACGGCAGCAGCTGGCTGGTGGTTGAGAGTGGTGGCAGCGGTGGCGGCGGTGGGCGCAATGAGGATGGCATGGTTGTAGTAGCCGGGCACAGTGCTGAGGTGGAATGCGGTGCAGTGGGCAGTGACAGGCGGCACGATGAGGAGGAAGGGGTCTTGCCAAGATGAGCCAGTGAAGAACAGCAGCACCTGCACTGCTGCCACCGCAGTGAGGTGCAGGGGGGAGTTGTGGTTCACCACCAACGCCCGTGCCTCCCCTGCTGCCATGGCCATGGTGACCTCCCCGCTGCTGCTGTTATAGGTGACGGTGTTGCAATCCTCCGTCACCACATAGATAAGGTCAGTGCCTGGCTGCACCGGGTTGGGTGGCACCACGTAGTTCCTCCCCCATGCCACTGTCGGCAGGAGCTGCTCCACCACGAAGTCGTAGCCTGCGGTCACCTTGGTGCAAGTGTGGCCACTGAGAACGGCCACAGGCGCGTTGGCCACCACAGCGGTGCCAGTGAAGTCCTGGCTACTCTGCAGCTGCAGGCTGTGGTAGGGCTGCAGGAAGAGGCGCAGCACTGCGCCCGGCACGTAGGTGTCCCCGGCATACTGGAATGTGGCCGTGGTGGTGATGGAGACAGCGGTGATGGCAGCACCGGCGACCACCACGAGCTCAGCCATGCCATAGGTGTCATTCCCCATGGGCGTCACCACATAGTACCTGGTGCCCAGGTTGGGCATGGGCAGCAGGGCCGTGGCACCCACTGTGTAGCCCTTGGCGCTCATGGCCACCACGGCCACATCGGCACTGGCCCGGACCACCACAGTCTTGTTGGCCATGCAGCTCCCTGTGAGCTCCAGGTGGGCGGGAATGGGCACAGCCTTGGTGACACCGGGCGGCACAGTGACCTCGCGGGTGCCGAAGGGACCGTGCAGTGTCACCGAGGCCACCCTGTCACCGGGGCCCTGCCGGGTGAGCAGCAGCTTCAGCGTCGCACTCGGGGACTCGTCGTCATTCTGGGGGAACACGGCCAGGAATTCCCGACCCCCCGAGCTGCAGCTGGAGAGAGCTGGGAAAACAGGGAAAGGGGCTCCTGGGTCAGTGGATAGCGAGGGAATAGGGGATTAGATGGATGGTTTTTATATAGAATTATATATGGGGCTTTATATAGATTTATATGGACTTGATAGAGAATTATATAGAATAATATATATCATATAGAATTATATAGATTTTTTTAGTAGAATTATATAGAACAATATCTATTATATAAAATTATAGACTTTTTTTATGCAGGGTTATATGCAATAATAAATACTGGATAGAATTATAGAGATTTTTAGAGATTATTATATAGAATATATATTATATAGAGTTATATTTTTTAGAGAGAATTATATAGAATAGTACCGGATTATATAGGGTTTATGTACGATTATAGAGAATAGTATCTATTATAAAGAATTATATAGATTTTTTAATGTAGAATTATATAGAATAATATCTATTATATAGAATCATATAGGGGGTTTTATGCAGGATTATATAGAATAATATCTACTATATAGAATTACGTAAATTTCTTAAAAGATTATATGGAATAATACCTATTATATAGAATTATATAGATGTTCTATAGGGAACTATATAGATTTTTACAGAGGTTATATAGAATACCTAATATATACAATTACATAGGTTTCTCATAGAGAATTATATAGAATAATATATAGAACCATATAGAATTTTTTATAGAGAGTTATATAGGTTTTTAATGTAGGATTATATAGAATAATATCTATCACATAGAATTATATGGCATATAGAATTATAGCAGGAATTGTATTTAAATGACATGAAAGGTGTAATGGCAGCCTTATCTTTAATTTATATGCTCTATTTTTATATATAATCACAGTAGAAATTATATTCACAGGTTATTACGCTGATAAATAACATATGTGAAAGCTATTAAACAATTTTAATAACTATTATTACTATCATTATTATATATAAATAAATTGTAAATTCATAATAAGAATTCTCTACTATTAATTAATTATATACAATTATAAGTAAAATGTTATATTATAATCCAATACAATTCTGTCATATTTCATTGTATAACAATATAAAATTGTCTATATTTAATTTATATTTATATATTATTCCATTTTATAATTATCTCTCAATATCTAGATGTAATTATAGATATAATTTGCTGTATTAATATACTGATAAATTACACAAACATATATTCGATATTTTTAGATATTATGCCATATTAAGAATAACTTAATTTTATATATCATATTTTTAGGTAATACAAGAGACATTATATTTATTTCCTATTACTATATTCATACATAGAGATTATATTTATTTATTATTTCGTTTATCTATTTATTATGATATTTATCTAGACATTACATTTACTTTCTATTCTTATAGTCATACATAACTGTAGTGGTGTATATTTAAAATTATTTAGTGTAAACTTGAAATTAATATACCCACAGCACCTAACAATAAAAGTATTAATAAGTAATAATGTTATTCAATTACACTACTTAATATTATTAGCCAATTAACACTTTAAATCTTTTGTATAAGTTAATATTTATCCATACAAATCTACAGAAATATATGAAATTAAACTACACAAAGAATAGGGATTTTAAAAGGACCAAAAAGGGATTTTAGAGATTCTTAGCAGAAAAACCTCCAAAAGATGATTATTGATCACCTTTTAATCAATTAATCAATTGATTAAAATTTGATTTTAAAAACCCCTAAATATATTTATATAAAAAAATGGGTGATAAGGATTTTTTTTAATTTAAAAAATAGGGAGTTAGGGGGTGTTGAGAGAAAAAAGCTGATTTTGGTCGGTTTTTTCTGAAAAAAAAAACAACAACTGGGAATTTGGGTGTTTGGGGTGACAAATTGGGAATAAAAAACAGGAATAAGAAACAAATTATAAATTATAAATTATAAATTATAAATTATAAATTATAAATTATAAATTATAAATAAGGGATTTTTTTCCTAAAAAGGGGGATTTTGAAGAAAAATCAACAGCAAAATAAGGCATCATGATTTTTTAAACTGAAATAAAGTGACTAAAAGGGTTTTTTTCTAAAACAGAGTTCAAAAGAGCTTTTTTTCCCCTAATAAATTAAATAAAAAGAAAAAAGGACTCAATTAAAAAAATTAAGGAAATAAAAGGGATTTTCCTTTGAAAATAATTTAAAGAAAGGGCTGAATAGGATTTTCTTCATGAAAATTAGAAAAAAAACCCGTGAAAATACAGAATAAAAGAGATTCTTTTCCTTAAAAAATAATAATCTTTTCGTAAAATAGAGCAAATAAAAGGACTTTTTTCATTAAACCCCCCCCTAAAAATGGATTTTAAATTTTTTTTAATAGATGTTTTTGTTTGTTTGTTTTTTCCTGAGGAAAAACAAAAATACTTTTTTTATCTCAAAAAACCCCACCCAAACCCCAAAATATTCAGGACAAAGTGCACTTTTTTCTGTAAATAGTGAGAAAAAAGGGCACTTTTTCCTGAAAATAAAGGGAGTTTTCATGAAAAAAGAAGATTCTAAAGGCTCTTGGATGTAAGGAATTACTAAAAAATGTGGGGGTTTGGTTAAAAATAATAATTTTCTGCCCTTAAAAGCTCCAAAATATACCCAAAATGCAGGAAATTTGGGTTTTTTGGGGGGGAAAACGGAGGTTTTCTCACCACAGAAGGAAAGGAGGAGCCACCAGGTCCCACGCAAAGCCATTGCTGCAAAAAACACCCAAAATCACCAAAAATTACCCAAAATCCCTGTTTTGGGGGGAAAATCCATGTGAGCCCAGAGAGGTCACCAGAACCCCCAAACAACCCCCAATTTACCCCAAAATGGCTTTTTTTTACCCCATGGAAACCTGTTTGGGCTTATTTTGGCCCCTGTTGCCACCAAATCCACCCCAAAAGCTCCAAAAATTATGAATTTTGTTCAAAAAATTGGGTCAAAATGGGGGTTTTTAACCAAAACTCCCCACATTTGGGGTAAAATGTTTTTTTTTCCCTAAATCCCTCAAAATTGGGTCAAAATGGAGCTGGGATAACCATCCACACCCACCACTACCACCAGTTTTACCCTTTGAGGCCACCCTAGAGTCCCCATTTCCACCAAATCCACCCCAAAACCTCCCAAAAATGATGAATTTTGCCCCCACAATCCTCCAAAATTGTGGTAAAATGGGGTTATAAAGCCAGGACAACCCTCCCACCACTCAACCTCCCCCCTTGATGCCACCTCAGTTCCTATTTCCACCAAATTTACCCCAAAACCTTCCCAAAATTACAAATTTTGTTCAAAATCCCAAAAGTTCAGGTCAAAATGGGGGGGTTTTGCCCCAGATCTCCCAAATTTGGGGCAAAATGGGGTTCAACAGCCAGGACAACCCTCTCCCCACCTTGTCCCACCCAACCCCCCCAAATCCTCAATTTGGGTGCAAAAAGTGCAAAGAATCCCAATTTTGGGCATTAAGAGGGCAAAAAATCTGAACTTCGGGAAAAAGTGGACAAAAAATCCTGATTGGGGGCACAAAAAGGGTGGAAAATGCCCAATTTGAACACAAAAAGGGCAAAAATATAAAATTGGGGGGAAAGAATGTGAAAATCTAAATTTTGGACACAAAAAGGGGAAAAAATTAGATTTGGGGAGGGAAAATGGGCAAAAAAACCTCCAAAATTTGGGCACAGAAAGTGTTAAAAAAATCCGAAATTTGGGATGAAAAAGGGGTTAAAAATATGAAACTTGTGGGGGAAAAGGGGCAAAAATCAGTAAACTGAGGGGGAAAAAAAGGAAAAACTCTGAAATATGGGCAGAAATTTCTGCACACCCCCAAAAATGAGGAAAAATGGGGAAAAGCAGGGAATGAAGGCACTCACCGGCCCCTGAGCTCCCGAATTCCCGGGATCCTATGGACACGGTGTTTGGCCCCAAATCCATCTTTTATACCCAAACAGATCTCGACTGGAGCTGCTTCCAGGGGCAGATTTGGGCCAAAACCTGGGAGTTTGGGCCAAAAACTGCAGATTTGGGCTGATACAGCAGAATTTTGGGAATGGGGGGAGCCAAGGGGGAGTGACCCCGGATTTCCAGAGAATTCGGAAAGTGGCAGCTGGATCCTGTCACTGAGGAGACGTCGGAGGGGGGTAGGATTCCCAGGGATATCACGACAGGTGTGGGACCCTCGGGGATGTTGGGACAGGTGTGGGACCCCCAGGGATGTCTTGAGACCTCCAGGGATCCTCCCAAACCCCCCGAATTCCCAGAATCGCTGCCCCCTCGGAGCCCTCTGCCCCCGTGACCCCGTGGGGAGGGACGGACCCAAATACGGTTGTTTTTTACCCAAAATGAATGACCCGAGTCCCAGCAGGGATTTCCAGGGAACGGGGAATTCTGGCCCAAACCCCGGGCAGGACTGAGAAAAACCATCTGGAGCCGGGAGGGAAATCAGGGAATTAAAGGTGTTTCTCCTTAAAATGGAGATGGAAAAATGGGGAACTCCCGAACCCCACGGGGACCCCAAACACCACTCGGGGACCCCTCAAATTCCCCTCCGGAATCCCTCACCCTCTGGACCCCCCAAACCCCTCCAGAAACCCCAAAGCCACACAGAGACACCCCAAAGCCCCTCAGAGACCCCCAAAACCAGTCAGGGAAACCCAAACCACCCAGAGACCCCCAAAACCACTCAGGGACCCCCCAGAGACCCCTTGGCCCCTGGACCCCCCAAATCTTCTCCGGGAACTCCAAACCCACAAGGTCCCTAGAGGTCCCTGGGAGAGTTTTACGGTTTCCCTGGAGGGGTCTGCGGGTCCAAGGGGGACCGGGCACGGAGGTTTTGGGGGTCCTTGGGAGGGTTTGGAGTTTCTAGAGGAGATTTGGGGGTCCCTGTTGGGGACTGGGGGGGCTGAGAGGCACAAATCCTCAGTGGGAGCCCCAAAGCCCCTCAGGGACCCCCCAAATCCTCTGTGGGAGCCCCAAATGCCCTCAGGAGCCCCCCAAATCCTCTCTGGGAGCCCCAAAGCCCCTCAGGAGCCCCCTAAATCCTCTCTGGGAGCCCCAAAGTCGCTCAGCGACCCCCCAAATCCTTTATGGGAGCCCCAAACGCCCTCAGGAGCCCCCTAAATCCTCTCTGGGAGCCCCAAACGCCCTCAGGGACCCCCAAATCCTCTGTGGGAGTCCCAACCTCCCTCAGGGACCCCCCCAAACCTCTCCCGCCCTCCCCCCTTTCCCTTCTCCGGCCTCCCATTGCCCGCAGCGCCCGCCCGTCATCTCCTGCAGCCAATCAGCGACCGAGAAGGGGCCGTTGGGGCGGGGCCTGGCGGAGCGCGGGCCATGGAGCGGGTGAGGGCTGAGGGGACCCCGGGGACCGGGGGGAATTTTGGGGGGTCCAGGGGGGGATTTTGGGGGTCCCGGGGGGCGATTTTGGGGGTCTCGGGGGGCGATTTTGGGGGTCCCCGCATCACCCTCCGCGTCCCCCCCCAGGGACTCGGCCTGGAGCAGCGAGCGGAGCGACTGGTGCGGAGGAGGTGGGGGAGCGGCGCGGCCACCAAGCGACTCCCGGGCCTCCCAGGATCCCCCTCAGTTCCCTGCTCTGCCCTCCCAAGAGCCCCTTGGGGACGCCCAACTGCCCCTCCCGACTCCAAGTACTTCCCCCCCGACCTCACAACCCCTCAAATGCCCCCGGGGTCCCCAAACCCCTCGCGGGGAGGCCGATGGGGGGGTCGGTATTTGAAGAGTCCCCAACCTGCCCTTCCCCCCCCAGCCAGGTCCTGCTCAGGCCCCGCCCCCGTGGGCCAGAGGGGGCGGAACCTCCGCTCAGCTCCGCCCCCGCAGGCCCCGCCCCCGTAGGCCCCGTCCCCGATGACCCCCTCATCCAGTGGCGTCTGAGGCGGCGCCGTGGGGAGGAGCCTGCGCTGGACACGTGCCCGGTGGGCGGGGCGACGCACTGGGAGTCACGTGAGCCCTCCGAGACCCCAATCAGGAGCCGCTTCTGCACCTCCCGCCGCCAGGGGGCGACCTCGTCCCGGCCCGATTCCCAGGAGTCCTTGCAGTGGAAACCATGCCTGCGGTCACGTGATGCCACTGGGGCCCTATGGGGGGCGCCATGTTGGGTGTCACGTGATCGTCAGGACGCTCTGCGGCCAATCAGGAGTGGCGTCCAGGATGCCCAGCAGGGGGCACCCTCACGGCAGGCGCTGGGTGAGGGGAATTGGGGGACTGAGGAGGAATTGGGGGATATGAGGGGGCACTTGCGGGGCCAGAGAGGTAATTGTGGGGCTGGGGGTTCACTTGTAGGGCTGGGGAGGGAATTGTGGGGCTGGGGGGTCACTTTTGGGGTTGGGGGGCAATTGTGGGGCTCAGAGTGATCAGTTATGGGGCCAGGGGGGCACTTGTGGGGCTGTGTGGGTGAATTGTGGGGCTGAGCAGGGGCACTTGTGGATTGAGAGGCACTTGGGGGGTTGAGGGGTCACTTATGGGTCTGGGGGGCAATTGTGGGGCTGGGGCACCCCTTACAGGGTGGGGGGGGGTACAGTGGGGTGGCCCCCCCCATGACCTCCGGCTCCCCCAGTTTGTCCCCAGGACCCTGTCCTATGGCTGCTGCGGTGCCACCGCCGGGCCCTACGGGAACAGCTCTGGTATGCCCCTCCCAACCCCCTGATTTTGGGGGTTCCTCCTGCCCCTACCCCTTCCCCACATCCCTCTGACCCCCTTTGCTCTCCCCTTTTTCCCCAGGGCTGTTGAGACCCTCCTGGAGCCCACCAGGTTCCCCCCCCAATCTGGGGGGGGCCAATAAAGCAATGAAACCCCAAAGCTGCAGCTGCACGGACCCCAAAATCCCCTCCCCCACCTTTGGGGTCTCTCCAAATGCCCCAAGAGTGTTGGCTTGGGGGGTGTTGGGGGTCTGGGGGGCTTTTGGGTGTGTTTGGGGGGGAGTTCTGGGAGTCTGGTCATGAAGAAGTATTTTGGGGAGGGATTCTGAGGGTGTTGGGGGAGGGTCTGCAGGGGGTTTGAGGGTCCCTGGGCCATTAGCAGGGGGCTGTAACTGGCCGTGGGGTGTTTTGGGGAGCCCAGGATGGGCTTGGGGGCCCTGGGGGGGTTATCGGGGAGAGGGCCTCACCTGGCTCCTCCACCTTCACCTTCACGGCCAACATGGGGTGGGGGGACACCAGAACGCCCCCCCCCCCGGGGGAGGGGGGGAAGAGGGGGGGCCCCAAATGGCCCCCCGGGCCCCCCCCCCCCCCCCCCCCCCCCCCCCCCCCCCCGTTCCCTCCAAACCGCTGCCTCCCATTGGCTGCCGTGCCCGCCCATCAACACCGCCAACCAATCAGCACCCGAAAATGTGTGTTTGGGGTGGCGCCTTTGGCTGAGTCACTTCACTTCCTGGACTACAACTCCTGTCATGCGGCCCCGTTAGAGACAGGGTTGTCCCTGAGTGCCCCCCAAACAGCCCCCAAATTCCCTCCCCTAAAGCCCAAGGGCCCCCCAGGCATTGCAGTGATGATGATGATGGTGATGATGGAGGGAAAGCCATCCCATCGCAGCTCCAGGAACAGTTCAGCCTTTAATTAAAACCTCAATTAAAACAGCAATTGCTGCTGTGGGGGGAGGAGGAGGCACAGGCCCATATTCCATGGGGTCAGTCCCGAAGGAACTGTTCCAGGTCCACATTCCATGGGGTCAGTCCCGAAGGAACTGTTCCAGGTCCACATTCCATGGGGTCAGTCCTGAAGGAACTGCTCAAAGCCCACATTCCATGGGGTCAGTCCTGAAGGCACTGCTTCAGATCTCTTTCCATGGTCCTTTACCTGCCAGGCACTGGCAGGCACTGGGAGCTACTGGGCCCATGCTGGGAGCCCAAAAGGGACACACTGGGAGCAACTGGAAGATACTGGAACCATACTGGATGTACTGGGACCACAACTGGAGCAACTAGGATCATACTGAGAGCAACTGGAACCATGCTGGGTTCATACTGGGAGTGTCTGGAACCACACTGGGGGCAACTGGTACCATACTGGGACTGACTTGGACTGATGGGGATCATACTGGGAGTGGCTGGGATCATATTGGGATCATTCTAGTAGTGACAGGAATTGACTGGGACCATTGTAATTGTGATTGGGATCAGCTGGGATCATACTGGACTCACACTGGGACTGACTGGAAGTCACTAGGATCATGTTGGGGGTTAATGGGATCAAACTGGGATCATACTGGACTCACACTGGGACTGACTGGAAGTCACTAGGATCATATTGGGGGTTACTGGGATCAAACTGGGATCATTCTGAGAGTGACTGGGATCACAGCGGTAACATTCTGGTAGGGATAGGAATTGACTGGAACCATTGTGGGTGTGACTGGGATCATACTGGGAGTGACTGAAATCATACTGGGATTGTATTGGGAGTGACTGGGGTCATATTGGACTCACACTAGGAGTGACTGGAAGTCACTAGGATCATATTGGGGGTGACTGGAATCAATCTGGGAGCGACAGGGATCACACCGAGACCATATGGGGACCATATGAGGATCTCCGCCGCGCTGGGTGCCGCGGGGCGTGGCCAATGTAGATTTATGCTAATGACTCCGCGGCCGCCGCTACACCATCGAGTCGCGGCCTCCGGGCGGGGCGGAGCGGTTGCGGGCCGCGATTGGCGGGGGCGGCGCGTGCGGAAGTGACGTTGGAGCGGCGCAGAGCGGCGGGAGGTTTGAACGGCGGCGGGTCCGGGGGGTCCGGGAGTGACGTCCCGGCGGTGAACAGGGGGGAATCACACCCGGGAAGGGCGGGGGGGTCTCACCGGCTGCCTGTACCTGCCCTAAGCCCCCTCCCCGGTCCCCCCGGGTCCTCTCCAGCGTCCCCCTGACTCCCGGACCCCGCACCGAGCCCGCGGTGGGTGTGACCTCGCCATGCCGCGCCCCAAGCCCACTCCCCGACGGCGCCGCCCCCCTCCAGCCCCGCCATCGCCCCCCCCGCGCCGGCGGGCACGGAGTGAGTGTGGGGGGATACCCCTATGGACACCCTTATAAAACCCCCTAGAGCCCACCATACCCCTTATGGACCCCATATGGACCTCCTATAGCCCCCATATCCCCTGTTCCTACAGACGCCCATAAATCCCCTATAGCCCCTATACCCTGTCCCCTATAGCCCCCCATACTTGCTGTTCCCTAAGCCCCCCATAGATCCCCTATAGCCCCCCCCATACCAGCCATCCCCTGTAGCCCCCTATAGATCCCTCATACCCCCATGTCCACCCAGGCCCTATAGAAATCCCTTATACCCCTCATAGACCTCTGTACTCCCCCATAGCTCCCCACTGTCCCTCTCACCCATGCAGCCCCCCATAGATTCCCTGTAGCCTCCTGTGTCTCCCCAGGCCCTATAGATCCCCTAAAGTCCCCTATACCCCTCCTGTGCCTCCCAGGCCCTATAGATCCCCTATAGATTCCCTATAGCTCCCATACCTCCCTTTGTCCCCCTCCAGGGTTCCGCCCGGGCCAGCGGGCACTGCAGGAGATCCGCCGCTACCAGAGCAGCACCCGCCTGCTGCTGAGGCCTCTGCCCTTCTCACGGCTGGTGAGACCCCAAACCAACCCCTGGGAATGCCCCAAACCAACCCCTGGGAATGCCCCAAACCAACCCCTGGGAACCTCCCAAACCCCAACACCCACCCT